AGGACACATCTCTCGGAAACACATTCGGGACCCGCCCTGAGGGCTGATGGGATTGGGTCCCTCCTGGACCTGGTCTGGCCCAGGCGCGGGTCCTGGCGGGCGCTGAGTGTGGGGCCCGTCCTGCAGGAGGCCTGAGAGGCCCCAGGGGCTTTGGTCCGGGCACAGGGGAGCTCTGAGCCTGAGACAGAGCCACCGGCCCCTCACAGGCGGGGTATTTGGATAGAAGGACCCCGGGGCTGTATTTTCTCGCCAGGCAGGTCCTCAGCCTCCCTACCTCACTCACCCGCTATGGCCTCTGGGCTCTCACCTCCGCCCCAGGGTTTATCCTGAGCTTGATGTGTATTTTCCATGGAAAAATTCTCATTGTTCGAATGTAACGTAGTATATAGTTTAAAAGGGGCAACTGTCCTAGAGGGTTTATGACAGAGGGTGGTAATCCCCTGTCCCCCCTCCAGTCCCTCTCTAGGCACCCTTAGAACTCTTGGCACTTCTGCTGGTGTGTACCTTCATATTGAAATCTCATGCTGACTCTTGCTTTTTCAGTTTTATATATTATACTAGAGGCCAGATGCACGAAATTCATGCAAGAGTAGGCCTTCCTTCCGAACCTGCTGCCGACACCTGCTTCCCTCTGGCACCTGGGACCCAGGCTTCCCTCTGGCCACCAGCAGGCACCTGGGACCCAGGATTCCCTTGCAGCTGCGGCTTCGTCCGAAAGGTTGTCTGGAAGGTCATCCGGAAGGACGTCTGGTCTGATTAGCATATTACGCTTTTATTATTATAGATTACAGGCCTGGTGCACGAAAATTCGTGCACTGAGGGGGGTCCCTCAGCCCGGCCTGCCCCTCTCACAGTCCGGGAGCCCTCAGGGGATGTCCTACTGATGGCTTAGGCCTGCTAAGTGCAGTCTGGCCTCCCTCTGCGGGAGGTGACCGGGCCGATCAGGGGAAGGTGCCGCCCCCATCCCCCCGCTGCTGCTGGCACTGCCAGCCATGCTGCCCTCCTCAGCACTCACAGCTGCTGCAGCTTTGTCCAGAAGATGTCTGGTCTATCCGGTCTAATCAGCATATTTCCCTTTTATTAGTATAGAAGATACCATAACATATGGTAACATATCATGATGTCACATACAATCTCCCCAGCAGAGCCACTGCTACCCGCCTGGGACTCCCTGGGCCCCCTCCTGTGTCGGATCTCCAGCACCCGAGTCCCCGTGTTCTCTCCTGGGTTTCTCCCTCGTTTGGTTGGGGCATGTCCTCTAGTAGCCGCCTGAGAAAGGAGGGATGGGCGGCCAATTAAAAACATAAACACCCAGGTCTGGAAACACCTTCCTTCTCCCGCCAAGGAGATGGGGCTGGCTGTCAATCTAGATTAGCAATCATCCCCTGTCAGAACCTAGAAGACGCTGCCCCACTGGGTTCTGGCTTGTGACCTTGGTATGTGACCTGTTTTTTTTCTTTTTGGAAGGGTTTTGGACTTTTTTTCCCTTTTAGGATTTTTATCCTGGTGTCCTGAAATTTTATGATAAGAAGGCTTGCTTTAATTCCTTAAGCTTTTTATTTTGCAATATTTCAGTCATATAAAGATAATACAAATATAATAAATGCAGGAGTGGGCAAGAGTAGGGTTACAGCTGTGAGTACACAGAACAATTTATTCTTTCTTTTTTTAAAAAAATTGATTTTTGAGAGAGAGGAAGGGAGAAAGAGAGAAACACTGATCTGTTGTCCCATTTATTTACGCATTCGTTGGTTGATTCCTACATGTGCCCTGACCTGGGATCGAACCCACAACCTTGGGGTATCAGGACGATGCTCTAACCAACTGAGCTTCCTGGCCAGGGCCAAACAGAGTTTATTCTTGTATTATCTATTAATTATTATATTATCTTCCATTCAAACAACTGTAAACCGACTTTTTTGCCCACCCCTGTAAAACATATAAAATTTAATACATACATTACAAACCCACCTATTCCTCACTGAGATTGCTAGAACATTATATTAAAGTGGGAACCCCTCCTTAATTGCATGTCTTCTTCCCAATATGTATCTAGGAATCTGTTGTTTATCCTTCGTAGGCGTGTCTTTATTCTCTCACTGCATAAGATATATGTTAATATACAACATTGTCTGTGTTTAAAGTCTCTAACTAGACGGCGTCATGATGGTTTGTTTTTCTGCCGTCTGTTTCCTTGCTCAGCCTGGGAGTCATCTGTGCTGAGTGTCGCCCCTCATGCTCGTCACTGCACGATAGCCCATTGCCTGACTGTATCACGGTTACAGATCTGTCCTTCTGTCCATGGTATCTAGGCCGTTTCCAGTGTTTAGCCAATGAAAAGGTACTCCCCCAACATCCCATGTGTGTGTGGAGCTTCCATAGGGAAAAGGTTCTAGGTTCTGCCAGCACGTCGGGGTCATCTGGGGACCTTTAAAGATCCGATGTCAGGGCTGTGCCCCAAAGCGATGAAACCAGAACCTCGGGGGTGAGTCCGGCAGGAGTGTTTGTGTCGCCCCAGGTGGCTCCAATGAGCAGCGGCGCTGACAACCGCTGCCCGGGACCAGCGCTCCTCCAAGTGCGGTCCTCCAGCCACAGCACGGCATCACCGGGAGCCTGTAGACGGGCCCTCTCGGCCCCGGCCCGACCTCTGGAGGGAGCGAGAGTCTGTTTCGGGAAGACCCGGGCCAGGGCATCGCGCTGCGGCTGCCGGCCCCGCGCCTCTTCGTCCACAGGGGTTGCCGCGGTGCTCGCCATGGCAGCGCCGTCCACGTGGCTGTGGTTTCACGTCGCTGTGCCGGGCGCCTGGTGGGCTCTTTCTCTAGGGAGCTTGTCCCCTCAGTCCCAGGAAATACCCTTGTATCATTTCTTCGACAATTTTCTCTCCTGTGTTTTGTGTCTTGGTTTGAAATTTCTATTAGTTGGACCTTCTGCACGGCTCTTATCTTTTGATTGTCCAATTTTCTTGACTTTTTCTTCTACTTTCCCATCTTTGCTTTTATATTCTGGGGGATTTTCTCTCACCTTCCATTCCTCCTACTGCAATTTTAAGTTCTGCTATTACATTTTACTTTGGAAGAGCTTCAACACTTGCTTTTAAAAAGAACATCCTTGCCCTGACTGGTTTGGCTCAATGGATAGAGCGTCAGCCTGCGGACTGAAGGGTCCCAGGTTCGATTCCGGTCAAGGGCATGTGCCTTGGTTGCGGGCACGTCCCCAGTGGGGGGTGTGCAGGAGGCAGCTGATCGATGTTTCTCTCTCATGGATGTTTCTAACTCTCTATCCCTCTCCCTTCCTCTCTGTTAAAAATCAATAAAATATTTTAAAAAAAGAAGAACATCCTTTTCCTGGTTCGCGGTGAACCTGCAGAGGGCTGTGCTGGACCCTTCCTTTGTGCACTGGAGTCTCTGTATTTTGGTTGTTGGTTCTGGTCAACGGTTGGTGCCCTGGCTGTTCCCGGGGTGAGTGCAGCACAGCAAGGCTAACCGGGAGCTCTGCTTTCGGGGGCAGGGCCAGTGCACTGGGGGCCCCCGCCGTGGTGACTGGGGACTCGCCAACGTCAGGCTCTGCCCATCTTTTCTCTTTGGTCAGTTTCCCAGAGAGACCTTCAGCAACGTCCTGCCTTGGCAGAGGGTGGAGGGTGTGAGCAGGAGAAGGGCTGAGGGTCTCCCCATTCATCACAGCCGTTGGCTTGGGGTCCAACCGTGGCCAGCAGTGACGCTGTCTTCTCCGAGGGCCAGGGAATGGAGGGCAGTCACAGGCCATGTGGGCTGGGAGAAGGGACCAGGGGATCTAAGCGTGTCTTCCATGCAATGCTGTTTTCACACCCATCCTGAGCTTCCACCTTAGGGATACCTGGTCCCTCCAAGCTCAAAGCATTGGGGGGGGGGGTCTCTGCAGAGCAAAGGGGCTTGGTCTCGGCTGGCTTTCTCTCGTGGACATCTTGGGGAGCAGTGAAAGCTGGCGGATACAAGCGATACGCATCTCAGAAGCACACGCGATTGTGGTCGCGATCAACACACGGGCTCAATGCAAACCCTAATCTTTATTTGTATTCTGAAGCATAACTTGTCACAGGGAAACAGTGAGTGTTTTTACCATCTGCCAGTAGCCGTGGCAAAAAAGCTAATGGTGGGGGCCTGAGGGCCTGGGGAGCAGGCCCTTGGAGGGCGGGGCCTGGGGGAGGGGAGCGTGGGGGGTGAGGAAGGATGGGAGGGTACAGACTACACCCACGCACACAAACACACGTTCTCTCTCTCTTCGGGGAAGGGTTTTCCAGAAGCATTTGCCCGTGCTTTGAATTAAGTATTTTTCACGCCAAACCGAACCGACTGAAGAGACGTGAATTAATGGCTTCAGGGAGCTGAGGCCCAGCCGCAGAGGCTGAAGGCTGCTCTTCAGTGAGCGACATCTCAGTCTCCCCCAGAGCCCTTCTCAGCTCCAGGGGGGGTGGGGGGAGAGGCTGGGAACACCAGGGGGGCCGAGGAGGGGTTCCAGGAATCCACAGAGCCAGGTCCCAGCTCCCACCTCCCAGGCCCCAGCAGAGGGAAAGGGTGGGGACTCTCTCATCCCTCCTGCTCTGGACTCCAGGGCTGGCTCTCGGGGCCAAAGCTCAGCTTTGGAGGGTAACGCTCAGGGCTGGGCTTCTCCCATGAATACAACGTGGAGGAAGCCCGCCTGGTACCCCTGAAACTGCAGTGCATGTGAGGGCCCCACCAGGGGGGGTGACGGCCCATCCAGCCCAACCCCAGGGGAGAGCCAACTTGAAATAAACACGAGGGGTAGGAGTGGGGGCGTCGAGGGAGGACAATAAATAAAGGTCACAGCTGAGTGACATGGCTGGGGGCGGGAGGAGGGGTGTGGGTGTGAGGGCTCCCAGAAGAAGCGGGGCAGAAAGGCACTGAGTGGGAGAAGCAGACTCAGCCCCCAAACACTGGTCTGTTGAGTCAGAGGTCACGCCGGACAGGGGGATGTGTGGGCTCCGGGGCTGGTCAGGAAGGAGCCGGCGGGGTCTGGATCCAGCTGTGGGTGCGCTCTCTCTCTCAGTCTTCCGACTGGAAAGCCTGCCCCGTGCGCCCCGCAGGCCTCTGCCCAGGGCAGGCGGCGGGCTCGTGGGGGCCACGTCAGCAGCGGGGACTCGCCCGGGTGTGCCTTTTGCCTTCGGGGAGAGAAAAAAGGCCACTGTAGGCTGAGCAGAGGCAGGGCACCTCCCTGAGACAGCCTGACCCTGGGGAAGAAATGGAGGGGACGCAGGTGCTGGAGTAGCCCGGCCCCCCCCTTGTGTGAACTAGCCCCGCGGCTTCTGGCTGGGCGGGAGTGGGGCGGGGGGGGGGGGCGCTGGCACCTCGGGCAGAGCTCGCAGGCAAGCCGTCTACTCCCCGCGCTTCAGTGTGTCCATCGCAACCCCGGCGACCGACACAGCGACCTTCGATGCCAGAGGAGCCAACGGACACGGGAACACAAACCTTCCTCAGGCCGACCCTTTCCAAGTGCCTCAGGCCCTGGGACACTATGCACTGGCCGCACAGCCCCCCCACTTACCACTGGGCATTTCCCGAGAGCTGCTCAGGGCGCACACTCCACGCGGACCCTGCCTTTCACCCTCCCAACCCTGTGAGGGACCTGATACGGTCCCCACTCTAGGGACAATGGCACTGGGCACAGAGAGATCTGACATTAGGTTGAATCGTACCAAATTGCCAACATCGGCCATTTTTGATCTATAAAAATGCAGCTTCATGCGGCTCAGCCTGACAGTTTGCCCCAGTTCACATGGCAGGACCGGGATGAGAACTCAGGCCCGATTCCAAACCGCCCCTGTCGAGGGTTTCAGGAGGCCAGAGGGCGCAGAGAAGGCCCACTTCATGGCCATGCCCACCGAGGCCCCCTGACCCTCAGACCTGCCCAGCTGCCGCCCCTCTCGTGTGCCCTGCCCTGCAGCGTCTCAGGAAGCGGAGGTCAAGGACTGGGCACACTATGGGGCTTGGTGAGGACTGGGTTGCCTGGAGCATAGTAGGTGCTCTTGAAACGGGAGTTACGGCGACTGTCATGGAGATGGGGAAATGAAAGATTACACATTTTATAAAGCTGAGGATGCCATAACCGTTGTTAGCATCACTGATGATGGATAGGGGGGTGGTACCATTATTAATTTGGGGTTCCTCTCTGTTCATTGCAGGCAAGGTGGGGCCTGGCACCCCGGTTCCTGCAGTGCCTGCCCAGAGCTCAGTAAACATACAGAATTGAAAACCTCATTGACTCCTTTCCAGTTTAACCTTATCAACTCCTTTCCAGTTTAACTTCATCGAGTCCTTTCCAGTTTTGGGGGACTGAGTAGGAGAGGAGGGCCCTCGGGGAGGGGGAGAAGGAGGGAGAGGTAGTGGGGGTAGAAGAAGTGGCTGGGTACTCACTGGAGCCCTTTGGGTCCGGCCAGGGTGGGGTGCCCCTCTGTGGGTCTGCAGAGCCGGTCCCGGCCTCGCTGGCCAGGCTGCTCTGGCTCCCCGACAGGTGGCTGGGTGGGTGGGTGAGCTCCATCTTGGGGGACTCCACGCTGCCACCTGCAAGAGACCACGTGTGAGCGCAAGCAGCTCAGTGCTGGGCCCTCTGGACCTTACACCGAGCCAGGGAGGCTCTCAGCCTGCAACGAGCGATGGGCAGCTTCCCATATGGATCTGAGATGGGCGTCCAGGGGCCTGAGCCCAGAGCCCCTTACCCCGCAGGGCTGCCACGTTCTAGCGAGACCCAACCCCGTGGCCACTGCTGATGGTCCACCACATACAAAGGCCACCAAATGGGCCTGCGGGTGGTTGCCCAGAGGAACCAACATGAAAGTCGACAACCAGGAGGAATGAGGTGTGGGTGGGGGAGGGTTTACATTTCAGCGAACTCAGTGGGGTACTCATTGCTGCCTTTCCTAACTCAAGGATCCTCAGATACGCCTGTGGGTCCTCGCCCGGCCAAGGGAGCCGAGCTGGGCCTGGGCCATTGTACTCCGTCTCTTCCTGTCCACTAGACCCTCTGGTCATAGCTGGGAGTTGGTGTGAAGGGAGGGGACAAGAGCTCTGGTGGGGGGAGGTGGAGGGTGTGTAGACCCTGCCCTGGAAACCAAGGCGGGCAGTAAGCTTCCGTTACACTTTCCTAAGATAGAATCTTTAGCCCGAGGTGCCTAAGAGATTGTCTAGTCCAGGGTTAGTTTCCATCTCTTGCGTCATCTTCACCTATTGATATTGATATTGATATTGATATTGATATCACCTATTGATACTGACCACTCGGAAAACTGCACTGAGGAGGATTCTGAGGCCCATCGGGCTCTGTGGGAAAGCGTATCACGATCAGCTAGTCATGCCTGCCACGGGCACAGGAGTGCAAGTACCAGCCCGTGTGCCAGGCATTCGGCATCTCTGATGGAGCCCAAACTGCGGTCCCAGCAGGAATTCCTCCCACATCCGCCCTGGCAGGTCCCCGGCCTCGTCCCAGGGCAGCAGGCGGAGGCCCTGCGTTCCAGTGTGGGGCATCAGAAAGCTCCCTTATGCACTGAGATCAGCCTCGGGCACCGTCTTCAGATACCCCAGCTCTAACCTCTGGAATGATTCTGAACGAAGCTGGTCCTTTTCCCAGGAGGGCCCCTCGTGTGTTTAAAGGAGAGGAACACTGGGCCCCGGGCCTTGTCTGACCAGCCTCAAGGCCCCAGTTACTTCTCTTTCAAACATCAGGTCACAGAGGAGAGCTCAGAGGTGTGAGATTCAGAGGGAGCTTCGGAGACCACCTGCTCCCGCCCGCTTGTGCTAACTAGTAGGCAATAGAGGCCCAAGAGGCCACAGTGTGTGTCTGGGGTCCCCCTGCAGAGCTGGGCTACACCAGAGAACGCTGCACCTGGCTTTCACGGTCTCATCATTCACGAGGCAAAATCTCATGGGGATGCTCCCAGGGAGCTGGGGAGGAAGCCCGGGTGTGCAGGCCGAGGGTCAGGGCAGCCACCGGACCTGCCTCCCCGGCCCCCGAACATACAGCTGAGCCTCCTTTCCGCCTTGCTCTTCAGTGGTGCTAAGACTTCAGCTCCTAGCCGTCCCTCCCCGGGCCCCCTTCTCAGAACATCCTGACCCAGAGCGACCCTGCAGACACCCTGCTGGGGAGCAGAGGCCCAGGACAGCAGCAAAGCCACCCGCCCCTGGAGCTTCAGAAACCAGCATGCGCTTCCCACACTCACCTGAGTCCCCCCTGGATCTGCCGCCTTTCGGGTCTCCGAGCCCAGGGGGCGGGAGTCTGTCCTCCAGGCTGGAGGAGCTGAGGTCCGAGTCGCTGTCGCTGTCGCTGGAAACCACTGGAAGAACAGACACCAGCGAGGAGGTCACCGCGACTGGCCACCACCAGCAGGCACGTTGGGCAGAGGGGCCAGGGCAGGCCTCCCTCCTGCCAGGACGAAGGGCACAGAACCTCGGCTGGCCATGTGTTTGGGGCACGGGAACAATGGCCTGGGGTGGGGACGGCAGGCCACTCCTTTCTGCCAGTCAAGGAGGGCTCACCCCGGGGCCAGCCCTCTCCACATGTCACCCTCTCCCCGTGGTCGGAGCCAATTGTCCCCTCTGGTGAAGGCACAGCCGCCCTGAGCCTCGCCCCTGGCCGTGAGGCAATGCTCGGTAGTCATGGCAATGCCAGTCCTCGCTGACCCTTACAGAACACTCCAGGCCCTTGACACACGCGAATCCACTGAAGCTTCAGAACATCCCTGTCAGGCAGAAAACAGCATTCTCCCCATTTTACAGGCAAGGAAACTGAGGCACTTGCCAAAGGCAGTAAGCGGAGGAGCCAGGATTTTAGCCCTGGCAGTCCGGCCCCACAGCCTGTGCTCCTAAGCACCCCGATTCCGCTGGAAGAACGGAACTGGGAGCCAGCCGGCCTGGGCTCTCAGCCCAGTTCACCCAGTAACTCTCGCGGGGTCTTGCGGGTGCAGGAGGGAGCCGGGCGGATGGGCTGGGCTCCCAGGAGATGGAGAGGAGGGAAGCCCTCACAGGGAACACCCCCTGCGGCAGAAATCCTCTTTTCTGGACTAAACGGGACCATATTTGGCTGGTTCGTCACCGGTGGGGGGAGTCGTACAGGTTCTATGCATGTGGTGAGCATTCTGCTGTAATTTTAAGCATAGAAACGTACATCCATTTGCCAATCTTTTGCTGTAGAGTTTGGGTGCTTCTTCGGGTCTTTCCTGTCTCAACTGCACGCGTGTTTGGCTGTGATTCCCAGGTTCAGGGTCTACACATGGGAGCGGAGCCTAGAGACAGGGAACGCAGATGCGGGCAGAGTCCTCTCCTTTCCGGCTTCCTTCTCCTGTTTGCTGCCGTCGTCCTGCCCACATCTAATCCAATCGCTATTTTAATCGAGTGGCTTCTATCCAGACATCCCAAGGCCCTGGCTTTTATGAGACAACTGTTTGTGTGTGTGTTTTTCTGACTCTTTTCATCGATTTACATAACGTTTCATTAAATGATGTAATTATAACAAGTACAGATGTACAGAAAGGTTTGGGATTACAGGGCAGCGGCTCTCAGAGGAGACGAACTCAGCGGCTGGGGTAAGAGTGTTTGATCCCAGGGAACGCAAAATGCTGGTGAGGAGGGAGGTTAGGAGGGGCTGAGCTCCTTCTGCCAGGCACTGTGCTAGGTACCTAGCGAGCATTATCTTAGTCAACCTGCCAAACAGCCCTGTGCCACAGGGACCCATTTGGTGGGAGATGAGATTGGAAATAAAATTGATCTACACCAAGGATGGCTGAGCGGTTTCATCGGACCGACTGGGCCCCTTCGGGAGCGCGTGCAGAGGAGAAGCCTGGGGCTGCGTTAACCCCCAGCAGGAAGGAAAGGAGAGCCCGGGTGGCAGGGAGATCCACGGTGGGCACTGGGGGGAAACGGCAGGACCTGTGCCACGGAGCTGCCACCTGGATCTAGAGCAGCGGTTCTCAACCTTCCTAATGCCGCGACCCTTTAATACACTTCCTCATGTTGTGGTGACCCCCAACCATAAGATTATTTTCGTTGCTACTTCATATCTGTAATTTTGCTACTGTTATGAATCGTCATGTAAATATCTGATATGCAGTATGTGTTTTCCGATGGTCTTAGGCGACCCCTGTGAAAGGGTCGTTCGACCCCCCAAAGGGGTCGCGACCCACAGGTTGAGAACTGCTGCTCTAGAGCTTTCTGGAACCCTTTAATACACTTCCTCATGTTGTGGTGACCCCCAACCATAAAATTATTTTCGTTGCTACTTCATAACTGTAATTTTGCTACTGTTATGAATCGTAATGTAAATATCTGATATGCTATATGTGTTTTCCGATGGTCTTAGGCGACCCCTGTGAAAGGGTCGTTCGACCCCCCAAAGGGGTCGCGACCCACAGGTTGAGAACCGCTGCTCTAGAGCTTTCTGGAAAGCCTTCATGCCTTCAGCCTGTGCCACCTGTCAGCTAACGGAGGCACAGGTCACACACCAAGCAACCAGAGAGT